AAACGGAATCAACCTCTCCACTGCATGTTTCGGCAGGGCTGGATGCCTTTTATGTATTTCACTGTAGCTTTCTGATGCTCTGAGGAGGAATCCTCAGATGGTCTCCAATATGCCACCGTTAGGTTGCCTACTTGTGGTTTACGTGTGGACACCCACTGGGCGAGCTAGCCGCTAATGTGTGCACCTTTTCTGAGTTGAGATTTAAATGACTTTTGGGATCTCTCCACCCATGAATTGCCATGAAAACATCTGTGAAATATCATTACACACCAAGTGGAATGGACGTTTCAGGCATCGGCTCTGCTTTCAGACTCACTTTCGGACCTTCTGGTCACTTTTTCATGTTGCGGTCAGACGTTTAAAAGCCTCCCTCCACCTGGACGGCTGCCTCTCTGCAGACTGTTGTTTTAGCAGGCGTCTGTTCAGGGTTTCAGGGATGTTTCCGAGCGCCTCTGCAGAAGTAGAACGCTCTCCTGTGCTCCTACTTCTCACCTACACACACACACACACACACACACACTCACGCAAAAAAAAACAAGCAGAAAGAGAAATGAGGCAAAAATAATAAATAAATAAATTCGGGAAAGTTCCCCAAAAAAAAAACAACTCAGAAAAGCCTGCGGGCAAAATCCAGGAAAAAGAAACAAAAACTCAGCAAACTAAGTAAAAGAACATACTGTAGACAGAGATTGTGGAGGGGTGAGAATCACCACTTGATGCGCAATAAACAGACCCACAAACCCCTGCTGCACTGAATGAACGCGAAAAGCTCAAAGAAAAGCCCAACGCTGGAGTTGATAAAGTACGGTTGGCTCCACTTTGCCCCCCACCCCTATGAGGCTGAGGGCAGGTGTCTTGCTCCCCACTGCTGGGCATTGTGGAGAATTTGTTTTGGGTTTAACCAGGATTTGTTTAGGATATTATAATTTAATATCGGGTAACTATTTTAGTTGCAGTTAGTTCATAAATCTAGTTAGCATTTTATAGTTAGTATCTGGTTCAAAACTGACTATTTGTGGTCGTTTAACAGAATGGACTCAATATCCCATGATGCTTTGCACAAGTGCAAAAGGAACTGGAGGTTAGACGAAGAGGTAGAATTGAGGAGTTTACCGAGAAAAAGAGCTATGTTAGCCGAGCACCTACACTCTGTTGTGTATTGTAATGTATGATTCGTTCATCCCTTTTTTATTATTCACTAAAGTTCAGTTGAATTATCCACCCGACTCCTTTTCGTTTTTGGACCAGTCGAATATACAACAGGCATTGCTGCTAAGATGAGGTCCACTTTGTGTACACATCGTACACACTGATTATTCCAGTCAGACAGAAGGAAGCAGATTCAAAACAACACAGATCTCAAAGAGCTTTTCTGCTGAATATCTTCCGCCCCAGCCCGCTCTGGTCCTGGAGGTGTCCGGGCCCGGGGCTGCTGCTGTCCCAGCCTGCAGGCAGCTCCGGGGACATAATGAACCCGATCCCCTACAGCCGTAAACGGAATGGGGGGGGCTCCCTCTGACAGCCGGACAGGTAGAGCCTGCATCTGCTCAGTCTGCAGCTGAAATCAGGCTAGCTCCTCACATGGGAGGGCATTCACCCCAGTGGGGAGCAAGTGTGAAGCCTGTACATATTAAATAAGGGAGCATCAAAGATGGAACAAAATGAACTAATGGAGATGTGACTCCAGAAGATACATGGCTGCTGTGGTATGGTGGGTAAGGGACAGGGCCTCCTGGTGCTTGAATGCTGAAGGTAGATCGGCAGAGACAGCAAGCAACAAACACTTCTGAAATAACTCGGGAGAGATCAGGGTGAGAGCTTTAAAGAGGAGGGATCACAGCATGGGGAAACAGAAACGACAAAGCGTAGCATGATGAAACGCCCAAACAGCAGGGAGTCTGAGAACACGGGGGGGGGGGACTGGTACTTTACTAAACTGAAATAAAGACTCATTTCTACAAGGATGAGCACATAGTTTAAGACCCAGATATACTATGTCATACAGAGGAACTTTCTCTTTCTAATCTGCAAGAAATAATGTTTTCCCTCCGTTGGGTTAACTATATTTGATGTAGTCAATCATCGCATAGCATCAATTTTTTGGTCGAGAAAAACAAAAGGAAGGAGGAGCTTAGAGGTCTTCTAAAGATAATCAAATGTATTATTTGAACCAGAATACATAATATGAATTATGACTATACCAAAGTGTGGATGAGGAATTCCACCAAGACAAAAAATGCAACTGTGCAGAAGATGAAGGAGAAGAAGAAGATGAAGAAGTAAACCTAAGATGAAAGGTTATTTTTCAAATTGAAAAGGAAACGGAATGAATACAGCACCTTGTTCAAATCAAAAGCTTGGCCAAAACATGCCAAGAAAGAACCTGTCAATCTATCCATTGATTTCAAACTATTTCAAACGCCAGAAGACCTCCACAGTTCTTCCTCCGACACGCTGGACGTGTAACTGTTATGTGACACAAGCGTTTATCTCACAGCTGAGCGGGGAGTTGCTGGGAAGCCGAGTTGGACTTTGGTGCTCGCAGTCTGTGCTGCTGACCTGCAGCCAGCTGGAGAACTGTCACAGAGTGTGTCCTAAATAAGTAGAATATGAAGATCAAAGCAATTCAAACCTCAGCTCCAGCACGGTGACCCAGGGCCCACTGGGCTTCCTCTCCCAGTCCAAAACTCTTCATGTTGGGTTTACTAAGACCTCCAAAAGTGAGTGGGAGGGTTTCGTTGGCCTTTTGACTGTCAAGCTCGTCCCTAAAATCCTTTACTAGATGGAGCAGGTATAGCAGTTGATAAGGGGCCCTGTCATTTTAAAGTACTGACACAGAACAGTGGCGCTACACAGTAGTTTTTCCTTCTCCTGTAGCTTGTAGCAGGCACAGCGTGACCCGGCAGTACTGAGAAAAAAACACGACTTGCTTGAGGACAGGAGTGTGTTCCCAGTGTCCGTCATCAGTCAGAGACGATGATTCTGACCGCCGTCCATCCACACATGCGAACCCTCGCTAAAACGTGCTGAATCTGACCAACACCGCATCGTGGTCACTGTTTCTCTGAGTCTGCCATCTCTCACACCAGCAGCTTCTCACCGGTGCTGCTCCAGCTCCTAGGCCTGGACCTGGGCCTTAATGGGCTTAGCAAATTTGGAAAACATGCAACATGCAAAACCGAGCTTGGGGCTGTTAGAGATGCATGAAGCTGACCGAGCGGGACAAAGAACAGGGTCCACTCACGCGTCTGCACTCATGCATCATCATGCGTTTGCACATGATTTCGTCTGAGCAGCCTTGACAGTATCAGTCTGTGGGGATAGAGACTTTAAAGGCTTAAACGAGTCAAAGGAGAGTTTTCCTTCACCATTTTAATTGGTTGTACATATTTTTAATTAATCCAAATATAATTACCGCCTGAAAATGCTGCAAAGCCAATCATTTTTTTTCCCCCTGCAAGACTTTGTCCTTTGTAACTCGAACTTACACACACACACACAAACACACACACACACACACACACATATATATATAAAACCTTATATAAATGTGTAAATGTAAATATACTCACAATTTCAATGTCTGCAGAATTACTTTGACTTAATATCCATGTAATATCTTGTAATTATTCATTACAAATTCAAATGATGTAATATATATTAAACATTTATTTGGTCTGTTTTAGATAACAAAAAAAGGAGCGGATATAAAGCACAAAAATACTCTCCCGAGTCTCATTTTTTTTTCAAACGCCTGCACCTCGTGGTGCACCTCTCACCTCTCAGTAGCTCTGTGAGGTGTACTCTGTCAGCCAGTGGAAGCCTTTGCTTTACATTTCCTGCATCTTTCCGGGGTGTTCATCTCTGTTGTGTTTTGCTGTGTGGGGAACAGAATTGGCTTTGTTGTGAGATCTAACACTGTAATCTTCTTCTGCCACCGAATGAACCCGAGAATCAAAGAACAGGCTATGAAACACCTTCTATCTGTTCATTCAAATGTTCTACGTTTTTTTAAAGTAAAAAATATGATGCAGACCTATTCTATCCAACACCCTCTGACTGGCTATATAAGACGTCTTTTAAAAACAAACTTCCACGTTAATGAAAAGTTGGTAATCAGTTGAGCCTATAATTATCTCTAAATCATGTAGATAAAAGAAATATGGGATCACAAAACACAAAAGCTACTATCTGGTACGTGGCTGCACCTTTTGTGCATTTCATGGGCATTTATTAATGAAAAACAATGAACTGTATACTGTTGTGAACTTTGGGAAAAAAAGAAGGAAAAAAGAGCATCGACGCTCATCTTGGACCGATTTCCAGACAGTTTTCTGGTCATGTCACTCTGTTTCTATGTCTTTACTAAAGAACCTTTTGAAAGGCAGTTTTGCTGTATAAAAGATCTATTTGAATCCATAAAAAACAAACATTTCTATGTCCACGTGTAACTTCAACATAGAGGTCTTTCGCTGGAAAAGTGCTTGTTTTCTTCATTGTTATGTATTCCATTGGAGATCCACCCAAGGAAATTCTAATGAATATCGCTTTAATTGAATCATCAACCTGCTTAAAACCCTAGTTTCTTTAGCTTAGCTTTTAGAAATGGTTAATATTCGACTTTTTAGATTGTTGTCCCCTTTCATTCGGTTGACTTCTCACAAACATCGTTTTAACTGCATAATAAACTACACATTTCAACATCTTCATTTCTTTCTCAGACCTTGTGTTGAAGGCTTGCTGCTTGGTCCTGTTGACGGATGGCCACATGACGTTTGACTCTAGATAGAATCCGGGGTTCACAGCAGTTGGTATGAGTTTTTTGCTGTTGGGAAAAAAAGTCGGTAATCAAAGAAACCTTTTGAAGACAGAAAGATGATGACATACCAGACCTTTAAAGAGCAGCCATTCCAAAAACATGTTCTGACCGGGGGTGGGACCGTCCCGTCCTCTGGTGCTCAAACCTTTGTCTTCCCTCTGCTCTGTGTGTGCGTCTGCAGGGGGAGTGCTCCCAGAGGTGCTTCAACATCTTCGTCCTGGAGACGGTGTGCGTGGGCTGGTTCTCGCTGGAGTTCCTGCTGCGCTTCATCCAGACTCAGAGCAAGTGCGCCTTCCTGCGCACGCCTCTCAACGTCATCGACGTGGTGGCCATCCTCCCCTACTACATCACCCTCATCGTGGACGCCCTGTCGGTGGGGGAGAAGCCCTCGGGGTCGGGGAACAACTACCTGGAGAAGGTGGGGCTGGTGCTGAGGGTCCTGCGGGCCCTGCGGATCTTCTACGTGATGAGGCTGGCCCGCCACTCGCTGGGCCTGCAGACGCTGGGCCTGACGGTGCGGCGGTGCACGCGGGAGTTCGGCCTGCTGCTGCTCTTCCTGTGCGTGGCCATGGCGCTCTTCTCGCCCCTGGTCTTCCTGGCCGAGAGCGAGATGGGCGCCAAGCAGGAGTTCACCAGCATCCCCGGCAGCTACTGGTGGGCGGTCATCTCCATGACCACGGTGGGCTACGGGGACATGGTCCCGCGGAGCATCCCGGGCCAGGTGGTGGCGCTCAGCAGCATCCTGAGCGGGATCCTGCTCATGGCCTTCCCCGTCACCTCCATCTTCCACACCTTCTCGCGCTCCTACGTGGAGCTGAAGGAGGAGCAGAGCCGGGCCTCGCGGCAGAAGCCCGACTCCCAGGACAGCACCAAGTCCCAGAACAGCGAGGACTCCCAGGAGACCGACAGCTTCCGCGGGCTCACCGAAGCCGCCGCCGCCGCCGCCGCCGCGCAGCGCCGCAAGTCCATGGCCGCCCAGCGGGCCGCCGAGGTCAGGGCCGCCACGCAGACGTAGAGGCCGGGGGGGCCGGGACGCCAGCGCCCGGACATCAGAGATGACAGGCGGCGGGACTGAGAACAGAGATTTTCTTCTCGGGATATTTGCTTTGATCATGCAAAGCGGCCGAGCATCAGAGCGGATCTGAGCTCACAAGATTCTACAAAGGAGTACCAGAAGGCTTTTTTTTTCCCACCACTAATTTTATTTTACCAAGCAACAGCATCGTATAATGCTACGGACTCCACAGCTGAAGCAGAGTGCCACATTGCACTCACTGAATGAGACACAAAGGCTTATTAAAGCAAAATCTACTGTCCATGCCTGAACCTCGGACCAGGAGTCACCCCTCCTCACGTCTTGTTAGAGTCTATAGAGGTGTTTGATGAGTTGTTAGATGCATTTAGAATTGAAACAAACCGGAATCTCATTCACTTGAACTTTTTTTGTTTTTTTTGTTTTTGCTTTTGCTTTTTTGTGGCCAAACTAAACCTCAAAGTTGAGTTCAAGCCACATCCAAAAAGCACATGATTAATTCTAGTGTCACATGGCTTTACAAGCGTCTAGGAGATTTTTTTCCTCCATCTTTTGTGCTGAGAGATACTCACGTCACCCTGTGTTACTGCCAAGGCTAGCTTAGGGTGAAATGAACATGGGGAAACGAGGTGCAGTCAGTTCAAAATGTCCGACTTTCAGATTTGTTTGGTCTGCACAGAATCAGTCCCGACCTGTTACACACCAATGCACTGCATCCAAGAGCACAACCACAATTACGTATTTTTCTGGCTGAGATAGATTCTAGATGTTTAATAAGACTGTTTTGTAACAATTAGCATTAGTGCTAAAGGGCGTTATTTGTCCGCTTAAAAAAAAAAAGAAAACATTTGCAGTTGACAAGTTAAGTCATCATTCCCATTCTATCTTTTACCACATGGAATACAGGTGGTGAACATTATCTACAAAAAACTATATTATATATGATCGTCCTGGCAATGCAGAGCTGCTTCTGGACTTAACTTCCCGTGCTAAATGTTAGCCTTTCCATTACCTCCCTGTCAACATAGGATCAGATAAGATAATGCATACCTAGAGATGCTCAAATTTTGAATTGAAATCATTCAGCTTTGGGTGATACACGTTGCACGATGCACAGGACAAGACTAAATCAGTGTGCGTTCTATCCTGGGTTGTAGTAATTAAAGAGGAAAATGCAAGAAACATTTTCAAATTAAGACTTCATCCAGAAAAGTCAAAAGATGAGACGTGCAGGTTGAAATGTGGACGTTGACGTGGACTGGGGACCTCAGAGTATCACTCCTGCTGGTGATAGCTGTTGATGCACACAGGGCCCATTAGTTCAAAGGATGCAAGTCTATTTAATCCAATCTCAAGATGAATTGCCCCAATGATGACACAACCTCATGTTTATATTCTCTATGTAGTTTTAATACAGGAGTCCTTTGACACTGGATTAGAATTTGACAGTCTGGGAGATGAAGTGAACATCACAGACCCTTTTTTTTTTACCTTTGGCACTGGCGGGACCTAATTCTGCTGTTTTACTGGCCTGATTCCACAATCTTTTTCTGCTCTTGGCGATGGATGCTAATCCTCTTAAAATGATGAGCGTCCATCTTCACAGGCAGTCTGAAAAGTTTCTCAGCTCTATTTATAAGCTGGGTTCTTGCAGAGTAAACTTCGGCTCTCTGCTGTTTTATGCCCCGTGCAGCCACACTTCTCTGGTGCCCAAACAATAGATCCATGCAGCATCTGTGTCAGGATAGATGATGAATTATTTTGAAAGGTTGCTGATGGGTGAAAAGGGAGAAACAATGTTTTAAGACAAAGGCAAATGATAGCTAATGTCAGTCGTTCTTTCCTCATAGTTTTACAGGAGAAACATTCCTTTGTGATTTCTCGTCATGGAACGAGAAATGTTGTCTTGTATTTCTTAACTACTTGTGGTAGTTTGTTTCGTCATGACAATTAAGTAAAGCGCTGGCTACATTTTTCAGATAGCACTGTCAGCACACGATTACACATCTGAATAAAACATAAGATATGAGTAATGAGCTAATATGAGGATATTCAGCTATAGACACATACTCACTCATCTTTGATTTCAAACCACTGGCAGCCTTAAAAGAAAAAGACTATATTGCACCATATTGACATCAGCAAACCTGCATGAAGTCTAGCTTTCACATCCCAGTTGTGTCACATAAAGCGAGCAAAGGGATCTTCTACTATGCTTATGTGCACCCATTCTGTTACGAGCTAAAAAGCCATTCCTGGATGCTGCATATTTGTTTTATGTAAAAATGCTGAATGCTGAAAACGTGTCTGTTTATTACACATTATATGCTTATTTTTTTCCAAACAAGCTCAAAAAAGTTTTAAATTCCAGAGCTAGCTATCTGGCTATGTGCTTGGATAATTCTAATGGAAGCAGTTGACTACGGGTTATGACCAGAGAAGGAGTTAAAACATTAAAATCCAAACCTTTTAGAGTTGTTTGCCAAGTTCATGTGTTTCATTGTCATTGTTGGAAAATATCCCCACCTTCTAAACAACTCTTTCTATTGCCATGCTTCATATGAGATCTGTATGTTACATCTGTGTCATATTAAACATGAAACTTATTGTTGGGGCTATTTTATTTTATTATCAGAATGTGCATCAGCTGCACATTCTTTCAAATTGAAATACTTTACATACTCCAACACAACAAAACACTTCCCAAAAATGTTATTCTTATTACAGATAGTACATTTCCTATGAAGGAACATGTCCACCCCCCTGACTGAATCACATGTACTTAAAAAAGAGCTTAAACAAACGACAGCCTTGGGGTTTTGATGAAAATATTGTTTCCATGAGCTGCTGTTGGACGGGGAACGCGGTGGAGAGGGATTTGAGCAATGCATCATGAATCAATAGCCGGGGGGGAAATGTAATAGAGATTAGAATGAAAACAGTCCCGGGCAGAGAGAACTTTGATTTTTTATAAATGATTATCTTTAAAGATGCTGACAAACTGAAAAGCATCTCTTGAAAAGCATCTGAAACTAATCCCGATCTGATCAAGTATGGGATTTACTCATTCACTCGTTTACAGTTGTGTGTAAAATCGTTCAGATGGAAGGATTAGGCTCAGATTCACATTTTTGGGGACTTCATGGTCTTTGACTGAGCCATCATAAAACAAACAGGTGTTATTACTGTCCTTTTCAGGCATGTTGTTGTAGATGTATGCAGCTGGGATTTGGGTGCAGATGGCCTCAGAGTTGGTGGTCACAGTCCTGACGCTGTGGCTCCAAAACCAGCCCTCCCCCGTCTGACAGCCGGGGCGAGGCCTTTTTTACTGATGCACCGGGTTCGGTTTTCTGCAAATGTGCTGCTGTGAATTTTAAACAAACATCCCGTCGTTGGTCTGTCCAAAAGGTACAGAGGTCTCGCTGTGTTTGTTTGTTTGTTTCCTCCCCTGAGCTGGTGGAGGCAGATAGCCAACCTCCCTGAGTCTGGTCCTGCCAGAGGTTTGGGATGGGAGGATTCTCTTTCCACGGTGGCCTGGTTAGCATTCAGAGGGACTAGTGGGCCGAACAGAAGCTGCTTGTTTCCTTAGCTAATAAACCTTTGGCTCTGTTTTAATTGGACACATTTTGAATTTAATGAACTGGAATTTATCAGATTATGACTCCATTACAAATTTATTTGAATCTAATTGGCTTGAAATTATAGCACATTATCCTTGAAGTGAAGAATTGTAGCTTAGGAGGATAATTGGTTGTGTAGCGATCGGAATATTGGTCGGAAAGGTCTGATTCTTTAGGTACTGGATGGGCAGACGTTGGGGCTTGGTGTAGCATTAACTCCTAAAAAGACAGATGGTGATCTTTAATTTTCTGCTCTGGCTGGTTATCTTTATTATGGGAGGATGTACTCTAAATAGTTTGGAAACGGCTTTTCAAATCTTACAAAAACTGCTTTTCTAAGGTCTTTCCTCCTTTACATTTTGTTAACGTACAACGATATGATTCAGACTTTCAAACCGACTAAATGCTATTTTTTGTTTGTTCTTAGAGGCTCACATCTGCCAATGATCCACAAAGAACATTTGATGGGCAGAAAATGCCTGCTACTGACCTTTTAAAATGCGTAGACATGGCTGTACATGCAGCTCCTGGTATGTAAAGTCACAAATGGGACTTTTCCATTAGTACTCACTCAGTCTTACTTGGTTCCACTCGCCTCCTCATGACTCACTGTAGGTTGTTTTCCATTTCAAATGAAGTAAAGTATTTGACATGGGGGTAAACTTTACAGATAGAACCTTAGAGAAATGATAAGAATTCATCCAAATTCTGCATGCATCCTCTGGACAAATGCACAATATGAAACATGTCGGACGCATCAGCAAGAAAATAAACCTACTTTAAACCTAATTTAGGAGGAGCATTTATGTCTTTGTTAATGGTGCTGCAGCTTACAATGAGCAGATTATGAATCTGGCAGAGAATAGAAGGAAATCTATACATTTAGTCTTGTTATCTGCTTATTGCCTCCTGACTGCCCCCACGGAGGGTTTAATTTTAGATCCCAGCACATTACAATCTATGCTCTGCTCATCTTTGCCACAGATTATACTCACACCCGGATCCAGCAGAAGGGCGACGGCCGGGGAGCTTAGGTCTGTTCTGAAAGCTGCAGACAGCAAAGGTGGATGTCTGACACAAACATTCAGCCAAAGATGAAGGCGGGCATACATTGTGGGGGTGGGGAAGCCACAGTCTCCAGAGTCCTCTTTATTGGGCAAATACAACACTGTGTGCTCCAACAGAGGACGGGCAATGGGTTGAACTCAGAGAGGGAGAGAAACACAAACACGGAGTTTTGGTGTCGAAGTAGAAAAAGGTGCCTCAGAATAGAAAACAAAAAAAGTACCTCCACATAAAATGAATGAACAAAACAATATAAAACAATGAAGTAAAAATAACATACATAGATACACGAGGTGA